AGCAACAACACCAATGACAGCAACAACAACACCTATAGGTTAGTTGGCTGGTCGAATCCAAAATGATTCTCAAAAGGCTAGGGTTTTTTAAAGTGCACCTGAACTTAGCATTGGGAAAAACTTAAGTACCTCAGTTACATTTTATACAGGTGCAAATTCTGTTTATATCATAATTATGCGGTAGCCGAACATTTTGCAGTTTATCAACAACAACACAAAGCTTAGTATTTTATATCCAACTTCTATAGCAAATGTTAACGCTATCATTATTATTCAAAGATAAGTTTTCAGCTCCCGCACCATCGCTATGGTTCTGCCAGATGGCACGGTACGTTTTTCATTATTTTTACCACTATCAGATGATATTTGAGTAACGAAAATTAGTGCTTTATTAACCTAATGTGGCCAAGTCCTTTTCACCTTTCCTTCCATTGATACAGACGGATACGAGTTCGATTCTCCGAAATCTTGGTGCAGTATACAAGAAATTGAAGCAATGTCCTAGTTTAGAAGTAGTATTATTTATGTAGAAGATTTTTTTATGTAGCGCAGCCGAATGAAAGAAAGTGGAAAAGGAACAGCAATTACAATTGGACATGTGATAGTGCATCATTAACCAATGTTTTTAGGTTCACCTTCGAATTTTCGTGCCTCTATACGCACAGAAAAACCGCGCTTTGTTCGCACTATGCAGACGTCTTGCATGTGTGCTACAGACTCTACAGCACTCAAACGCAGATAAAGAAAGAGAAAAAAGCAAAGAAGAAGAAGAATATGAAGGAGAGGAACAGCAAGAACGGAAAAAGGAGAAGTTATTCGCGACAAGAATGAGAAATCAAATAATTCTTTCGATCAAATGTCATGCAAGCAACTAGACACAAGACAGTCCTACAATTTTGAACTTGCAGAATTCAAGATTCAAACATTTTCTTTTAAATATCCTTTGAGCCGGCTAAGACCGCTGCATCACAAAGGAGTTCTTGTAGTATGTGCCCTGCACCACTTTCTAAAGATACTACCGCTATTTATGCCATTCTCTCTTTGCGCCCTCTTTTTGTGCGTCTTTTTTCAGTCCGTTTGCTTCTGATTCAAGCTCTAATGGCAACGAACGAACAACGTTTCATGAAGAAATGACGAAAGTCGTAGAGAAATGTGGGGCATAAGAAGAGGATACTCACAATCACTTTGATGGAAACAATGAAAAATCGTAACATAAATCCATTTCCCCAAACTGATTATAAACACTATTGTTTCTCACAGGGAAATCCCAAGTCGAGGTGCGAACTGGAATGAAGCGCATACCATCAGATGCGTCTTGATGCGCTGATTCCAAACCTGCTTTCGATGTCTGCAATGCGGTTTTTAAAAAGTTATGAGCGGTTTGTAGTGTAAAGTCACTGATGTTAAATGCATATTGTGCTTTAAAGTCCAAATTGGGATCTTACCGGCATGGTATTGAGTGCACGGATCTCAAGAAATGCTTGCATTCACCGAAACACAAGTGTTTTTGAACAACTGGTTCTTGAAAGCCTGGCGCTGAATGCTTGCCAATTTTGAGACTAAGCGCTCATATCTTTTTCCAAGTCGCTCTGCGATATGGAAGGTAGATTTGCAAAACAGTTTCAGTAATATACGTTACATTCCAATTCCTTATCTCGGTTTGAGATCTTTCCATTGTCAGGTAATAGTCGGGCCAGAGCAGCAAACTTTACATCAATCTTGCTAAATAATCCCTCTACAAGTTAAAGAGCAAAAATTCACTAGATCTTGAGCAAATTGAAGTCTGAAGATAAATATGAAAATACAGGATTAGAAAAAAATCGGGCATAGAGTTTCGAAATGTTGTAACCCGCAAATGCATATTGTAAGAATAATACAGGAATGAAGGCAGCGTCCCGGCAAAATTACGAGTACCGGGATTTTGGAAGTTGCACTGGCAGGTCCCCAAATACTTCATCAGTGAAGGCTGGATATCCTGTACACAATCCTTCAATTTTTTGGAAGCTATTTTTCTACCAATTGGCCTATCACACAATGACGTTGTATGCTGAAAGTTGGAGCAAAAAACTGCTTCTAAAGAACCTGAAATTTACTTTGGAAGTCTTACGGGGCCTGCCCTTCGTCCCGAACCCTCCCAATTTGCAGCGACTGCTGAAATGGAAAGTTTCGAAAAAGCTCATTTTTGTCATTTTCGCGCGCTGCAAGGCTCGGATATGGGTTCAGCATAGCGAGGCGATCGAAGATGAAAAAATTGGAAGACAAGGTTTTGCCGGGCACTTCCATTTAAGTTATTTTCGATTATATTTCTATCTTGATTTCTTCGAAGAATCACGGAAGCGTATACAGATTGTCCAAAAAATGCGCGCACTGTCAGTCTAGTTGCTGGTAACTCCTTTGCTTCAATTTATGATTGCTGGTATTTCCTTTGCTTTGGTGTCTTTGGCCGATCTTTATTTACCATCTTGTAGAGCTGGCTTCAGTTCAAGCTCACAGTGTGGAGCGAACCTCCGATCTTTCTTTGTCACTGTGAAATGCGGTTAGAACTTCTGAGAGATCCTAGACTGTCAAAGGTCAATTTGCCTCACGAAACCAAACAGGTCTAGCCGAAAATTGCTATATCAAGCTAATAAAAGTCGCTGATTCCAAATATAAAATTAACACGTAAACAGTAACAATTATGTTTCCAATAGAATAAATTTGAATACCACTAAAAAGCTAAAAAGAACTCGTAAAAAGCTTAATAAAATCAGCATGCGTGGATATCCTGTACACAATCCTTCAATTTTTTGGAAGCTAATTCTCTACCAATTGGCCTATCACACAATGACGCTGTATGCTGAAAGTTCATAGTAACCCTGCAGAAAAGGATAGGAGATCGCTCTTTACATGGATCTAAGCTAAAGAAAGCCCTACAAATTGGTACCTAAAGATCGGCGAAAGACATCGAAGCAAGAATGTTATTTAGGTCAAACCGTGTTCACTTTTTTGGGACGCTCCGTTTATGACTATGTGATATTTTTGGTATGTGCGCGAATAAATGAATGTCTCTGTCAGTCAATAGTAAAACTAAGGTAGAAAAATTGAAGGATTTGTAGGAAGGCGGAAATTCGGGGATAACCCAATGAAAGTCAACTACCTAATAAGTAAACTCAAATGCAAATTTTAATAATTTTCACACTGAGAACTTTGATTAAATGGAGAAAAAACTTTTTCCACTGCAGAGCTTGAGCTACTCTTGGTAAATGGCGGCATAGGAGGAGAATCTAAAGTGAGACATAACAGACTAACTTCAAGTAAATGAGCTGATGATATGACGTTTTGACTCGAGCCACTTAGATTTGAAATAGTCGCGGAGAAAGCAGAATCTCATGCCGATGTTTCCACTGTTAGGGCGAAAGTAATAAGAATTCTTGAAAGTTCTGCCCGTTTCTACACCTCTTTTAAACTGCAAATTTTTGAGCAAAAAACCATTTTCTATAGGCAAAGCGCTTAGGTTTTTCGGAAGCTATTTTTCCTAATTTCTCTTGAAAGCTTTTTCATGAAGCTTTGTTCATTTTGTGGTATAATCTCAAAGGAAAAACAAAAAGAATGCGAAAAGCTTCCTTTTTGTCCTACTGGGGTGGAATCAACAGACAAAAAAGCGCTTTTTTTTGAACATATGCGCTCGTTGGAAACTTTTGTTGTAAAATGCTTATCAAGATAATCAAGATATGTTCAAAAATGTATTTGGTCTTACAAATTTTAGGCATAAACTTAAGTGTCGTTGTGTTTCTTACAAGTCGTATAGAAATGTAGCGTAATGCAAACACACAACTTTACCCTATAATGAGGTCAGGTAGAACATTTGAAGGCAGCGTCTCATCAGATTGAAGGGTACCTGGCTCTGGTATTAATGTAATAGTAGACCCCCAACTAAGCGAAGACAGAAGTTTGCAACGCGAAAGGGGTCTATGAAGTCTACAAATCGCTCCCCAAGTGGCCCAAACCTTACGGTAGGCCCGAACGGCGCCCACAGACAAATTTCGAACCGCAAGGCCAGAGCACGCACAGCGCACACAATCATGAGTGCAGGGTCCCGCAACGAGTCTGCGTCTCCACCTCGCATGCATCTCGTACTCGCCCGAGCCTACCATAAGATCCTGGCCACTTGGGGGAGGGGGGATTTATAGACTTCGTAGACCCCCTTTCACACTGCAAAATTCTGTCGCCGCTTAGTTAGGGGTCTGCTATTACGCTAATACCAGAGCCAGGTACCCCCTCCCCCCTCCCCCAGTCTGGTGGGACGCTGCCTTTAATAGGAGAGAAACGAACAAATTTTCCTCGATTGCCGGGCAAACAAGATCAAAAACACAAAAAAAAATTTTTGCCATCTCAACATTGCATTGTGGAATTTTCAAAGGTTTGATGAAGTGTTTATTAGTTCTCGGATCAGTCTTTCCCAAGATCAGTAAGAGAATGGGTTGTCGTGGGACATTTTTGTTGCAAGTTCACATTTTTGTTGTAGATTCTTTTCGTTAGAGTAAGAAACGATAAAGTGGACCCTCTTTTCGTATGGGCTCCAAGTAGAAATCTTCCGATAGATACGCCACAAAATATCAGCAGCTTTTGAATATGAAGAGTTGTAACTAACTCATCTGTTGGCAATCATCTAAGGCTGTTTTCCACGTACGACAGTAATGATTTGTTTATCTGAGAGGATTTGATCATGCATAAAAAGCGATTCCCGCGATTCTGGGTGTCAGTCGCTACGCGAAATTTGGTCAGTCATGTGAGTGAACTTTTGAATAGGTGGTACTGACGTATTGGATATCACCTAAACTACATGTAAGTGAGCATGTGACGAATAAGAATTCGTCATTCTTGTCTGTATGGAGCTTCCATATTGGACAAAGCTTGGTTGACAATGTTGATTTTGCAAGAGTGCTGGCTGTCATTAGAAATCAAACAAGCTATCATGGAAATTTTATTTTAGGGCATTGAAAACTGTACCGTTTGCGTCGATGTTTTACCATATTCTGCTTCTTTGCATGGTGTCAGGTAAAATAATATTTAATGACGAGAGGACCGATTTGCAGTGTTGCAAATAGTTGATTTTAAAAATTCAATGTGGATGGAACGAGCAAAGCATTTTATTTAAGATTTTGCAAGCATCTCCAAAGGTTATAAGTTCAAGTGTACGCGTCCTTCCGCCAACCAAGCAGTATGTAAGATTAGCAAATCAAGGTGAGTTTGAAAAAAATTATGCGCTCCTTTTGATAAATCAGAGCATTGTGTGCATTTAGAACAATAGCGTACTTACATGGAAATATGAAGAAATGTACAGTAGCTTGCAATAAAAAGCACAAAAGAGCTGTTAATTGCAAGAATACATGCAAGGAATGCTTCAAGATATGCAAAAAGATTAGATTCATTCCACCACCAACACCACCACCACCACCAACAACAACAACAACAACAACAACAACCACTACAACCACTACAACTACAACGACAACAACGCCAACGACGACGTCAATGACTTCAACAACGACAACAATGACACCAGGCCAGTTATCCACTTTTCGAGATAATTAGGAATTTGTTTCATGATGTTGTCAATTTTAACTTCAATAATTTGGTGATAAATTCAGCTATTCAATACGTAAGTACCTCATAGTAATATCCATTGAATGCGATAGCGTACATCCAAAGACACAAATAGGGCAAAAAGGCAGTGTCTGAGAAAAATCGGTTTATCTCGGTGTTCTCGGTGTTGGAACAATTGAGTAGGTCACCTTCAACTGCTACAAATCGTCAGCTATGCTCGAAAAATGAATCTTCTAAAGCTTCATACCTTAAGCTGCTCCCTTAATCCCTCTGCTTTCCACATTTGCGCGAACATCACAGGTGAGGCGTGCCACTTTCACGTGACAACTGCTGACCGTGTATCTGTCTGTGATACATGCTGTCAAGTGGCTACCTATTGATTAACGCTAAAATTCTGCTCTAGTTGAAGTATGGTCCTTAGAACGGGGTTTCGGGGTTCTCACGCCATTTGCACTTCATATTTTTTAATAATGACAAAAACATGGAAGTCGAGTATCTGAGCGGATGCTGCTTCAAAAAAAGCGTATGCCCTTCTAACCGCGCCGTCCTAGCGCTAATTACTCTGCCCGGGCAACGCTAATTACTTCGCTTTTCTTATAATCTAGCAGAGTTTTCAAATATTTCTGAGCATTCCAAAGCAAGTGAGGCACATTATAATGATAGTGAGGATGTTTGACTTATGAAGACAAAAAGTTAGAAAGATTACATGTTTCTAAGGCCATTTCGTAATTTCTTCGCCCTTCCCAGTTTTCAAAACACCATGAAGTCTGCACGTGTAAGCTAATGAATTTACCTAAGCCGCCCCAAATAAAACATTTTCGAGTTTCATGGGAATCGAATTTTGTTTGATTCTTCTCATCGTAAGAATGCCTTTGCAGTCCAATTCAGACGTCTCTAACGACAGCATAGCTCTCACCCAAGCGGCGGCAGCACCGACCAATCAGAGGCGCGCAGTGATCAGGCTGCTAATGTTAGCGGTTCAAAAGGGCCGTCTCCCCTTCAAAAGGGAATGCCATTGAAAGCAGTGGGTCTAAGGCGTTTAATTTTATTTTAGATTAGACGGTTGCCTTTGCAGTAACAGCAGAAGCTGGATAAGTTATATCGCCCATCTGACAGCAGTAGTAATAGGTAGTTTCATAAGTCCGTAGAGTTTTTATTTTTGTAGCCATTTCTCGATGAGTCGGTTGTTTTACGTCGATGTACCTGTACTGTTTGGAAAAGCTAACCCTGCTCTACAAGAGTCGTTTTTCGTTTTTGGAGCGAATCTCAATCCCTTTGATTTATAACCTCTCAAAGCAAAGTTTTTTGAGAGGCAAAAATCTTGGCAATCAAAAATCGATTTCGGCAACTGCATTTTCCGCATTTGGTCCGTATCCTGCAAGATGTTATTGTCATACGTAGGCGGAATGGATAGTAGCAATCAAGACTGGAATACTGACAAATTTGCAGCATGCCGGTATGCTTAGAACCGTTTGAACAAGGTCTCAATAGTTGTTATCTTTGACTGCTGCCGCTTCAGTTTTGCGCGTTGTTCAGCGACAAAATGTGCCAGTCCTCCTACCGGGCCTTGAGGAATGGATGCGTTCTTCTAAGTTGTGTAGATGTATGAGTACAAGCTCTGGCCAACATCTAACGCTTTCTCAAAAATTTTTCGAAGTGGGAAATTCTCTAAATTGTACCAAACGCAAAAAACATCTACACACATGCTAAAAGTGAACTTAATCTTCCTTTATAGCGTCTCTTTGGATATGGAGACCACTTTTATATGCACCGTAAAAGTTCAGATAAAAAAACCCCACTTGTGACTTCATATATGGATCGAAAGTTGCAGGTGCCGAGATCGCCAATTTTTGCCTCTCAAACAATTTTGTTTTTGAGAAGTCGTCAAAGAAGGGGATTTAGGTTTGCTCCAAATTGAACAACAGTTCTTGTAAAGCAAGATTTTCTCTTTTCAATGGTACAAATACTTTGCCGTAAACCAACCGCTTCATCGAAAAAGGCGACAAAAATAAAAACTCTATGAACTCATAAACCGACCTAATACTTCCACCTAAGAATGGTAACGAAGAGCAAAATGAAACTTTGCGTTTTATATTCTTCATTTGCAAACGCTGACAACGAATCGTTTTTTTTAGCAATCCTATCTAGTAAACTAGATAGAATTTGGTTCTCGTGTCTAAGGACTTGAACATGCAAAACCCAAACTTTTAGTTTGTGTATGAGAGGTTGTGTTGGGCACTGGTGGAAACCTCATAAAAATGACTGCTTGTTATCTGTAAACTAACAATAAGTAAACTGTTTACATTTCAGATCCCAACGCCCCATATCCAAGTGAATGTGTGCAAATAAAGTACGTTGCCTTCGTTTCATCTAAATACAAACTCTATTATCATGACTTATAATAAGCGGCTAAGAATGTTTACGTCTTTTTGTGTGTGTGTATTCCGTGTGTGTGTGTCTGTCCGTTATGAAATTCGTGGAGCGTGTTCCAGCCAACGTCCTGAGCCCAAATTTTGCATAGCGCTCGCTACCAGCATGAAAGCTCACTATACAAAAATATGAGCGGATCTGTTGAGTTAATCCGTTGAAAATTGAACTCAAACGGATCCACTTGGCTTCTGGCCAGCAAATTTGGGTCCGTAGTACTACTTTTTGTAAAGTTATGGATATATTTGGCAAGTTAATGTGCAAGCCATGGACGTTAGCCTAAAAAAGTGATGAAAAGTCTACTACTTTACAAAAACAGCGCCAAAAAGCATTGGCTGTGTAAACGGTCAATTTTTCAAGATTTTACCTGATCGTTTATGAAGTTTGCACAGAGATGTAGCCCACGATGTTTACTGTCCTTATGGCGAATACGAAACCTTAAAAATTAAAAAACCTATTCAAATTTGCTTATTCTTCTGGGGAAGGTTTCATCTACGCGAAAATACCGATCTCACACGAAAAACCTCTAGGAATGAGTAGTTGTTTACGAATCATTCGTCATAGCCTATACAGCGCAGTGAGTTTCAATGCAATTATTATCCGGGAATTAAGGCATAGAGAAAGTAGGGCCAGTGCGAGCCTCTGCGAAGAGAGGTGACGCATTGGTATAACTAAAGTCGAAAAGTAGGTCTATCATAAATCTATTGATTTTTTAAGGTTGGAAATTTTTGTGTATGAATGTTGAAGAGCTACATTGCTACAATCTCTTCTTTACGGGAAAGCCTGTTACAGTCAAAACGAGCATCTTCTAGTGCTCGCAAAGTTTTCTAAATTTGTGAACAATTTTAAGGTGCATATGCTCCTGTTACCTTCAAACATCCACAAAACAACTTGCGAATGTTAATGCACAAATTGAAACTTGAACGATATTTCAGAGCTTTGAAGTTTTTGTTGCGTTAACATTATCGTGCTCGACTAGAGTTCGAAATAGCAAAGCGCTATTTTAATTGTAAGTAAAGAAAGGTTGGAAGCGCTTAAACAGCGTTTTGAGCAGAAAAAAGACGAATAAGAGGCACATGATGAAATCCAAAAAATGTTGAAAAGTGAAAAATACTAAGGTCTCCGATTACTTATGCCAAAGCTGCGCTCTTACTTACTAATTTTTTCGTCCACTCTTCAACATTTGTTAAAAATCGTACTTGACGTGCCTGTCGCTTGCTCCTTACAGAAACTGCTTCGCAAATGTTGAGATTAAGATTTCAGCATTTTACTCTATTTGATGCTATGAAGTTGGATCCAGTTTTCAATTACTTTTTTGTCTTTTTCTAATAGAAATTCTGTAACAAAACATAAAAGGCAGATGGACTTGAATGGCGATTTTCGTAAGTACTTATCACACTCTGTGATAATAAAAAATAGTAAAAAGTCAGAAGCAACGCGACATTCGAATGGGATATAGTTTCGTTTTCAGGTTGAAAATTGACAATATTTGCATATTTGACCCGGATCATCAAAGCTGTTCTGAGCTTTTCGACCAGATGGATTTATGCCAGACTCATTGTAGCGGTTTGCAGTATAACACGAACGAAATTGACGTCAGGCAGTTTTTCTGTTTTCCATAAGCAACTTGAGTTGTTTAGCGTTTCGAAGTTTGCTTCCTCAGCTTACAAGTGCTGGAAAGCAAGCAAAGCTCATTTTAATATTTTAATACCTTTTAAGCTCGATGTGTCATAGCCTATAATCTTATATTATGTTTGTTTGTTTGTTTATATGTTCCAAATACAAAATTTAATTTGTGAATCAGTAGGATAGATTTTGCACACACAGCTTCGGGGTGTGTGGGGGGGGGGGGGTTGTAAGCTATCTAGCTGATACCAATACCATCAATCTTTTTGCAAACTTTGATCTTGGGCGCCTTAAGTGATGCAGGAGGAGGGGCGCATGAGTGTGCCTGTTAAGCAGAGTAGATCTAAGATCTAGTAAATCGAGGAAATTTGAACTGCATTCATTTATTTTATTTATTTTGTTCATTTATTTTATCGAGTCTGCAGATGCTTTGACATGAGGAGCTGAGAGTAGGTGCAGAAATAAGTGTGCATACTGATATGAAAACATACTGGATGGAATATAGAAGTAAAACAGGAGGGTTAGTGTAGTACAGGGGTAGGGTATAAAAGAAATCATTCGGCAAAAGAGATATTATTAAACACTGCTAACTCGAGCTGCCGATCGGATCAACGCTACACTGAGTAAGACCTTCTTATATCGAACACGAGAGAAGAGATTTTGAGGTATAGATATCCAAAGTGATCGATCGAGGCCATTCAATGGGCTACAGAACTTTTAGCGTTGACATTGCCGTCAGCGATTACTCAAGATGGGGCCTTGAAGCCCTCACTATCAATGAGTTAAAAAGATTCAAAATTTCGGAGATTACTGCTTTCCAAAAAAGGTGAAAAAACCAAAAATTTTAATACCGCAAGTTTTTTGCTTTGCAAAACAATCCTAGAAAGTGTGTGCGTAGCTACTCGAGTAGCATGCATATCGTAAAAAGATCTAAGAATTTCTTTCTGGACGCTTTTCTCTAGATAAAGGTTTGCCAAAAAGAACGGTGTTTTGAAAAACTTTTCTATTTTTCGGTTTACACTAAATTGACTGTTTGGACTGCTAGCACAGTAAATAAGCGTTACATGGATAAACGTTTAACCAAAGTGACTTTTGACTTATCTAAAAATACGGTGTATCGGAATTATGAAACCTTGAACGAAAAGCTTGCAAAATGTGCATTTATTTCCAGACGACCCGGTACCGTATCTCTAAGCAACGGAAGAAGGACAGCGGCGCACTTGGTAGTTTGTTATAAAAAGCCAATGTCGGCCAAGGTGACAATTGTAGAGCGGCTTTACCTCTTTATCTCATCTCGCAACGGATTTTAGATGCGTCCTCAATGTTCGTTATGTGGCGTCACGAAGTTAGTCACTCTCTGACCAGTCGCATTATGAACTTCCTTCAAAGAAGTGAGTCTTATCCATTCAGGCATCAAACAACGTCTACTTTTATCAATCTTAGATCCTTGTGCGGTTGTAATTTATGCAGAGAAACTGGAACGAATCATTTCAAACCGCTAGAATAAGAAGAATCTATGCACAACATTCACACTTAAACGACTGTTAGGAGACGCTCTTTGAAACAGCCTTACCGAAAATCTTTGGAAGACGGAACGAAGATTTTCACCAACCTCCTCTCAAGCGTACTGTGGGTAGTTCATGAAGCTTTCGACATGGCGGTTCATGTTTCAGCCTAACGCCGGGAGAACGGTTGAGCTGAACAGATAGGCTCAAAAATCCGGATCCGTCAGTTGGTTGGTGGCTTTCTTCAAAGGCTCAGGCGGCCATTGCTGCTCCTCCTTTCCTTCAAGTTCTTCCCCGAAATCCTCCTCCATGTACATTGAGTGTCAAAGTACACGCAAAAAGACGTCTCGGAGATGGGGGAGGGAGAGTAGTTTCCTCTCATCTCCGTCATTTTTACAAAGGGTATTCTTCGTGAACAGCCTTCTTTCAATTTATGCGCAATCCAGTCTTCGTTACTTCGTTGAGTTCCTTCGCATCGTCTCCATTAGAACAATACTGCTCGGCAAAAAGTGTGTCGTCCGCAAAAGAAAATTTGAGAGGAAACTGCTATCATTTCGTAATGGTAATCATTAACTTTATTCAACACATATAACACTAACAACAACAATGAAAGTTTCCGTCAAGTCATAACATGCTACGCTTCCCTAGACTTGAGTTAAAAGTTTTCAAAATGTTCATTCTGGACGATTTCGAAAGTATTTGTGGTTGTAACAGTACTTGTTCTCCATTTGGACAGCGACATATTTGCAGTATCTGGTGGTTGCTTTCATGCGACAAAACCAGTCAAACTCTAACCTGAAAACAAATTCGTCTAAAGGGCCGGCAAACATTGAGCAATTTCATCGCCTCCCAATTTTCCCTACAAGACAGATGCTACTCCTTAACCGTTTGTCTTGCATTTTGGTTGTGATATAAGCCGCGATTAGCCGCGTCGGAAGTATCACAGCCAAATGCAAGATGAGTGGCTTGCAGGACTCGTATAGTCTTGAAAAAACCGCGAGGAGATGAACTTGATGTATGCCCGGCCCTGAGAGCGTCGAACATATAGCTTGTCATCACGCATCAGTCTTTTCTACTGTATACCAGAATTTGCGCGTCCGCTCTGCAACCTCGCGGCGTCATGCCCGACGTATTGATCTGACGGAATAAGATATAAGCGATTCATCGCACGCAAAGGCTGCGAACATATCGGCGCCTCTTTCTCTAATCAAGCGCCCTTTCTTTTCTCTTACCATCTGCTGTCTCTCCCATGCACTAGCTATCTTGCTCGGACGCTATGGCGCCCTAGTCTTTCCGTTTGAATCGCCGATACGTACACGGCTTATCAAACGCAGTGTCGCTTGCGTCAGCATCTCCACTCCCGCGCTGGACTCTGCCGCGCACATGCTCTCTGATCACTTTCCCAGGGCGAACGTGGAAAGGCGGAACCTCAATCGATTGGTTAGAGAGCATGTTTGCGGAAGAGACGCAGAGTCCAGCGCGGGGGTGGAGACGCTGATGCAAGTGACATGACAGTGACAGTGCTTTGATAAGCCCTGTATGCATTCGTGGCGTTGGCCTTGCAGAGCTGAAGAGCACACTGCAAGGGCAGAAAAACCAATACACATTGACACATACTGTATTTCACTCGATCTCAATCGCCACGCAATACGGCAATTTGCCAGATGTCTCAAACTCCAACGCTGACAGACATGTGCATGGAATTCATACATCATTGGTGTATGAAGAAGGGCATTGATGCGTTAACGATGAGTCACAAATGATTAAATTGCTAACAAGGTAAAGGTTAGAAGTTGGAATGGCCAATCCAAGCGAGCAGCTCATCATTAAAAGCAGCATTCAGCGCTGATTTAGATTCTGTATGGATCCCTTCATACTACGCTGCAAGACGCGACGTGTTGCGGCGCACGCCGCAGGGTGCAGCAGCCTGCAACAGCACGCCGCTGCAGTCGCAGTCAAAATATGAGCTCACTCGCTGTGAAGGAACACTCTACGGAAACATGAACTTGCAACAAATATAGAGATAAATCCATAACCGGCGAAGCTGTGCTGCCGTGAGCGTATATTTTCACTGCGACTGCAGCGGCACACGCCGCAGGACGAGGAGTGAGTGCTGCAGCAGGCTGCTGCATCCTGCGGCGTAGTATGAAGGAACCCTAATCCATATCTGCTGAGCGCCTTTGTGGACAAAGTTCTGAGCAGCTTTATTGCGAAAAATTATACATAAAAAGCAAAGTTGAGCACATTGCACTTTTAGTTCACCATTAGGCTCATGTTTTGCTCCAGCATCAAACCGAACATTGCTGTGTACCGCCAAGACGCTTCGCATGCACGATTTCTTAGCAAAATAACGGCCTTTAACTTCTCATTACTTCGCTTATATAGGCGCTAAGCAGATACGGAATACAGATTCAAACTCATTGTTTTATGCTGCATCTAATGGTACGCAGCATGTTTGAAACCGCTTTGATTTCTGACCCTTCTCTTGTAAATAGCGTTCGCAACCCAATGGCTTGAAGGTTCTAATTTTTCTCGTTTTATTTAGTGCAAGGACAACGTGCTAACAACTTACCATAACTTCGGGCATTCCTTTGCAGGCCATGGTCCTGGAAAGCAAAAAACTCGCTTAGATATACGTCATTCGATGGGCTGTAAATCTACTTGGACAAATTTTTTGTTAATATTAATAAAGTGATATCGTTCTAAGACAACCATTCTGCACCTAACCTATGAGAGCTAAAAGAAGCGGTGCCGTTGCGAGATCGTTTTCCGTTGCATATAGAATTTTCCCCTAATGAATATTGCTCTTCTCAAACAGTCTGCTTACAGCCCTTCAAGCATTTCGGTAATCTGTCTGCATAATGTCTTTGGCTTGTGTCAAAGACAATGGTCGTACAATCTTCTACAATTATTGCCTCGTTCTCGACAGCGCACTAAAAGCTACTTTTCAATAACGCAGCAGAAGGGCTCAAGTACGGCAGAGTGCTGATAGAAACATTTTTTACGATTTTCAAGGAAAAAAAGGACTGCACATTATACTACATCGCTCCATGCCCACAAAAAAAGGATATTTCGGTTCTATCATGCAAAAAAAACGCTTTAAAAATACGTAACAGGGTAGTGTCTAGTAGTATAGAGTGTTTCTACGTTATGAAGGCGTACCTATCTATCTATGAACTGTTATCATAACGCTGAAAACTCTCCTCGGTTTTCCTGCTTTTTTGATCACTTTCCCTTTCTATTTGCGAGGGTTTCACGTAGACAATCGATTTGGGTTTACATATTCCGTCAAGATTGTACACGATTCTTGTTGGAAGATAACGCGGGCAACTACTGTAATATGTTCTCCTTCCCTAAGCCTTTTTTCACTTGATTTTAATTCTATGATACATCCTCCCTTTTCAGGTTTGCGAACCATACTATAATCCACACACGACAAGTTTACAGTTTTTCAATTTCCCAACCCAGTCCCTCTTTCTGAAGTGCTTCTGCAGTCTCACATCAGGTGTTAATGACGCGACTGTTCCCTTCTTTTTCAACCCTCGCCCTTTTTCTAAGCGTTTCATCTCGACTTTCATTGCCTTCTGTGTTCATCGCAGATTACTCTGGAATCACTTTTGTGTGGGCCCTTTTCCATGTAGTCTTTTCCTTCATTGCTCTTGCGCTTCTCTTGGCCGGGTTACATTTTATTTGTCATTTACCATAATACGACTATACGCTGGGGTCCTTTACTGAATGCGTAACACTTTCCGGTACTTTTCCGTTATCCGGACCCATTTTTTCAAAAGACTCTCATATTATACGTTCTTTAGTTAAAAATAATTTTTCATAAATGGTACGAAGACTGCATCCTTACCACGTGTCATGAAAAAATTAACACGTTTTAGTCGATTTTGACAGGTTTTTTTTCGAAATCATTTTCGGTGAGATAAAAGAGATTTTGTGATCATTCTAAAGCTGCTCAACTGTTTTACACAAGCACAAAACAATCATGAACTTGTTCTAAAACATCTTGCTTGCTTTTAACACTGATTCAAAAGCGTATTTCTCTTCAATTCCTTTTCTCCATGCGAATTTAGCTGAAAAAACTATAAATGATAGCCTGAATTGCCTGGCTGCTGCTTATTCGCTTCTTAAATAACGGAATCCTAGCGCACTTCTCTATCCTGAGCAAGTCTAAATCTGTTCATCGATGATGGTATGTTGTTATTATTATGACAATGTTCACTTTAAAACTGTTTGATCGAAATGAGGTCAAAATTTACTAAAAAACAGAATGAACTTACATCGCTAGCCAGGGTAACACAAACTCTTGGTAAAACCTGCTAAACATGTAGATGACATGTTAAATTTTTTTGACACGTGGCAGAAGGTTGACACTCCTTTCTTTGAAGCTGGGACAGAATATGGTACAAGGATAGAAGCAATATCCTTCTTTGAAAAAATGGGTCCGGATAACGGAAAAGTACCCACTTTCCTTTTTCCCAACGATTGCAAATGTGTTTTTCTCCCCTTTGACTGTAGCACGTGTAGATCTGCTCAAAAACCTGATGATTTATCTTGAATCCTCACATTTATCGGATTTGCTCTTGCCTTCAAGGAAGCGGACAATCTTCCCTTCACTCTTACTTTCATCGTTTGCTCTTTGAGGCCTCATCCTGTTGAAAGCAGTGTCCAAGCAAAGACTCGATTTCGAAATTATGTGCTTACCTGGGCCTATTCGCTATGCTGAATCCGAAAATCACCACTGGAGAGCGCGAAAACGGCGAAAAAGGGCTCTAACGGAGGAGGGAAATGGCAGGTGAGCGGGGCTGTTCACATAGTGGCGTCACTTTCTTAGCTTCAGGAGCGATCTTCTCGCTTACCTAGTCTTCCTAACATCACCACCAGCCAACTGCGAACGCATGACATAAAATCGGAACCGAGAAGATCGCTTCTAAAGCCCGGGAGAGTGACGTCGCGGTGTGAATGGCCCCGCCCACCTGCAATTTCCCTCCTGTGTTAGGGCCTTTTTTTGGCGTTTTCGCGCTCTCCATTGTGGTTTATCGGATTCAGCATGCGAATAGGCCCAGTTAAGCACAAAATCTCAAAATCGACTTTTTGCTTGGACACTGCCTTTAAGTCTCTCGCCGCGTTATTTCCTATGAGAAGCTCTTTTCTATGATTCTTGGACAAATGAAATGCTTTTCTATAGCTTTTAGCTTTGTTTATCTTGTCTGAATTAGAACTTTCAAATATGTTTTTGCTTATGTCTTCTTGCAGTCTTTCATCAACTTATCTCTTCCACCGCTCCGTAGCATCTCTTTCTTGTTTGCGATAGAACGAAGCAAGAGAGTGATTTTTTACCGACGAATTCCGTTTTCATCCTCTCTTCTTCGCGCTTCCTCTTTCTATGTCTATATATCTGTGCTTTGTTAAAGGCAGCGTCCACCCAGAATTTAACCCCCCATGTTTTCGTCATTCTGGGGTCTTTCCGTGGCCCTGATTACAGTTCCAAACTTCAAACTCTCTAAAATTCACAAAAAACCCGATTCTTGGGGACCCAGTCTTGAGGGTGCGGACGAGTTTCGAATTGCTCGTCCCCGTCGGCAGGCCAGCGGGAAGGAGCTGCAGAGCTGCAACTGTATGGGTGCAGTTGCATTGCAGTGTGCAGTGTGCAGCTTCTGCTCACTACCTTGTCAATACCTGTCGGGAGGCATATATTGACAAGGTAGTGAGCAGTCCCTGGTGGGCGGAGTCTGATATCAGACTCCGCCCAGCCAGGGACTTTCAGGCCCCTTATCTTCATTCAAAGACAACGTTAGAAGACCTGACCAACGCAGATGCCCCTTTTCTCGGGCCTACGTTCAGGACCGACACTAATCGGAGGGGGTTAGGTTTAGCCTGGACACTGCCTTTAAGCAATATGTAGGGTTTTCGTAGCTGTTGCCGTCGCCGGTCATTCTGCACCTCTTCTCTCTCAAATGCAAAGCTTGACTGCTCAACTTCAATAGCTAGCTCCGCGATCCTATCCATCCGATTCACCTGTGGCCGTATTCATCAACGCTACCCAGTGGGTTAGTCCTCCCCACTGGGTAGGCTAACCCACTGGGTAGCGCTGATGGAAACGGCCACTGATGTAGTTCCTACGATTTGCACGTACTCTGCCATGTCATCAGATTCTGGAAGAGTGACGCGCGTAAGCTAGGCCTTCAGTGCCACACAGAACTCGCATATTCCCAAATCGGCCTTAGTTGCAAATTTCTCAAGTCTGTAAGCGCCTTCAGCCTTGCTGCCGCTATGTCGCATGCTGAAAGCGAACTCTAATCTTCTACCCTCTCAAAACTTTGCTGCCTCACCGCTCCAAGTATGCTCAGGTCCAAGGACTTTGCACTTCCGTCTAGGTGTTCATCTTCTTATAGTTCCACCTGCTGTTGTTCCCTCAATTAACAGCGCCATACTTTCGTTTGCACATTCGAATAAATCTACTGAAGTCCTCGTCCTTATTATCCCATAGCCTACCCAGTGGGTTCGCCTACCCAGTGGGTAGACCAACCCATGGTCTGTATTTACGAACGCCTTTGCCACTTTGCCACAACCCATGGTCTGTATTTACGAACGCGGGTTAACTTACCCAGCAACTTACCCAACGGGTAGAGTAATCCACGGTCGGTTTAACGAACGCCTTCGCCGCTGAGTTAGCTCAACCAGCAGCGCTGACGTCAGCAACGTGAACATTGACGTTCATTAAAATCAGGCTTTGGCGTCCTTACCGTGCGCATTCCTTACATTTTTGTATTTTCACGACTATATATGTACAACATCTCCACTGCGTGATTACGGGCATCTCCGCTGAGTTAGCTAACTCAAAGAGTAAGTTTGCATTGTTACTATGCAAGCTAATAGGTATCAGACATATTTACTTGCAGTCGCGAAATTATCTTGATACGTTTTGAGTGCTCCACCTCTTTTCTTTTGTTGTAAATCACTTTCACTAAAAACGTGCATGAACTTTGTAATTGCGCTATCTAAGAATGAAGCCCCGAGCCTCTCAAAATCATAAACTCTCATTTTCGCTCAACATCTATTTTCTTCGCAACGTCTGTTTAAATCCTCTTAGATTTTTGGAAAAAATCTTGTATTTTTTGGAAAATATATGACGCCGGTATTTCCGTTTCCTTTTTTGGTGAGATAGTAAATTGGCCCGACAAAAAAGGCTTTGATGTCTAGATAGAATTTAGTGGTTTTCTAATATGACGTACTACTACCCATAGCCATTGCAGCTTCCTAAAACTTTTTTAACATTCAAAAAATGGTCACATTCATTTGTTGCCCATTGCGATTCTCGTTGTGTGCTTGGGTAAGGCGAATCCACGACAAGTGGGTACTGGAAGAACCCACAACTTTTGAGTAAATTGTTTCGTGAATATCGGTATTGCGTAGGCTAACTAATTGAAGCTCATTCGTGAATACCGGATTTCGGCATTTTGTGGGTTAGTTTACCCAGCGGTAGATTAACCCACTGGGTTCGCTAACCCAGCAGCTTCTTGAATACCGATTTCGCGCGTTGAGCCTACCCACTGTGTAGACTAACCCACTGGGTAGCGTTAATAAATACGGCTACTGGTTCTCCTCTGGCCGGCTCCTCGCTCGCGCCTCTCTTTTTTCCACCTCTTTTATATTGTGCTGTGAGGTCGAATCGGTCTATGCTTTTCACTCTACTAAAGCTTGATAGATCAGTGATCCTTTTCATCCAACAAATTACCATAGTGATCACAAATGCTCACTAGCAAGAGTAGTGCTATTACATTATCAGCTCAACGTAAGAAAGCATCTATCTACAGAAAGTGTAATGTACAATACAAGTTGCAAGTAACCAACCTTCAAATCTCTTTCTTGTTGTTGATACCGTCGTCGTTGTTGGTAGCGTTCTCCGCTCATACTTGCGGCAACGCTTCAGCTCTTCATGGCACTTCTTACAGAATCGAGTTGGTTTTTTCGATCTGTGGTTACACCCCGAACAAGCCATTCTGCAAGAAATTATTGATTTTTTCGAAGCCAGCTTAAACAATCTAAATGGCCCCTCTTCTTTGGACACTTATTGCTTGTTATGTCACCAAAAGAAGTTGAGCAAGTAAAGTACGAAATGGGATGCAAAAGACTTGCAAATGAAACAATTACTCTACGTACCTTATATCTAAACAAGTCAATACTGAAGGCGTGGTGGCTGAAAACAAATGCATTAGAATAATGCTACTGATGTCGTGATTATCTTAGAATAAGCATGAGTGGACCTTTCGCAGCCATGTGCTGTCATTTGAAAGTCATATATGAGGGAGATCTGCTTTTTTGTTGTTTAAGCGCATTTGAGCAACTTTTCTCTCTAAAATTTGATTATCTTCCAAAGCATTGTATACTTGCTAATTATAATGTTCTAAGCGCACCCTGATTTGCTAAAACGAGAATGTTCTGATTTTGAGTACGTTCTGTATATGACAGGCAGTCGAGGAGGGGAGGGGACCTCTTTTCATGGGTATAAGCCGCAGAATATTTGAAAGCGAATTACATAAACTACGAAACAGCGCTAATTTGTTTTCAATTAAAATCAGAAAAAAACTTTTACAAATAAAGGTTCCAATTAGCTTTGTAGAAGATCGGCTATGTGATGGCAGTCGCGCCCTGTTCTAGCAGTTTTGTGGTTATAGGACCGCAGTCGGAAAGCATCCCAAGAACTTTTCAAAATCACTCTTCCCTTTATTCAAAAAATTCATTGCGCACCCTTTCTCTCCCTTTATCGAACCAACTTTTTCGAACCAACACTGATACTGATGGCCGTTAAATAGTCTCTCCCTTCTCATTTTTGAAAAAAGTCAAATAGGAGGGGAAGAGTGGACACCGCATCTAAGGCGGAAATCAAGGCTAAAAGGTGTATGCTCAACACAGTTTTAGATAATTCTATCTTGTAATCACTTAAAGATGCGCAAGTTTCTTGCTTGTAAAAAATGTAATCACTTAAAGATGCGCAGGTTTCTTGCTTGTAAAAAATTCTGCGTTGCAAAAATCGACGCTTCTAGGAAAAGCGGGGCTTTGTAAGGCCCATTGGTCCAAGTCCTATAAGTTGACTTGTGAACAGCTGAATTTGTCAGCATTTTTTAATGAATCAAGACCTGATAAAAAATTTAGAAAGTCGGAAGGTCATTGACAAAGACACTAAAGAACGCGGGCTCTCGTGGCTACACTGGTTTACGCAAAAACGGGGCAATTAAAAGTATCGAAAACCGCTTACCATGCAAGGAAATTTCAAATTCACGACCATTATCTGCTAAGGGATTGTGTAAAAGAAGCTACTCACGGTTGTAAGTGAGAAGTCATTGAGGCCGTAAATGCATAATGTGCGCTAAAAGACACCTTGGGATAGCATACGTTGCATGATGTTTGTGCTGACTGCAAGAAATGCATAAATTCGCCGAAAACATAGCTAAGTATTTTGAACTTGTAATGTTCAAAAGTGTGGTAGTGATTGCTTGCCATTTTGATTTTTAAATGCTCTGGATCATAGAAAGCCGCTCGCAGATGAGGAAGTTAGGTTTGAAATCAGCTGAGCAGGCGCATTTATGATAGCATTTCATTCCAGATTGCCTCTGCGACTTGGATTATCTCCTAGTCAATGCTTCACCTTTTCGCATGTGTGGATATGCACACTACAGTATATACGTGCACGTTTCATCTTTGTTAGGTCGTAAAGAAAGTTCCAGAGCACATCTAAATTTCATTTTCTGACGTTTTCCTCGCACTCGGGTCTTGACAACAAGTTTCTTTTCTACGATTTTTGTAGAAGTGATCTTGAGCTTTTCAATATGCTGAAACACTGATAAAATAAGTCTATGTTGTAGACAACATTGCCTTTGCAATGAAATCTGTTGCTCCTAAATGAGTCGATCTAGGAAATTATAGCAGTATGAAAAAAGTTTTCGCACAATCCGCAAAGTTTCTTTACAACCGAACATGCCTTCAAATGTTAAGGACTAAAGATTGTCTTAGTAAGTCAGCGAAACTGTTCACAAATTTTCCTGCCAGCCTAATAAAAAGTTGTGGTTGAATCTTACAAAACAATAACGCAACACCAGTAAGTAATCACTCAGACAATTGGTGCCGTAGCTCCGGAGGACAGTCAAAATCTGGCAAAGCTGCGGAGGACCCAACTGACCATTGAGAGCGGGGCGAGGGGGTGGTCCCTTTCTGTGACGTCACGGTGAGGTCACAAGAAGGCAGATGGGACCCCTCCAGCGGGCTTGTAAATCTCTGCTCCGGAGGTACGCCGGATTTGGGAGACCACTGGAGCACAAAATGGGAGGGCTCCGAGGTGACAAATGGGAGGTCTCCGGAGCACAAAACGGGAGGTACCCGGAGCGCAAAACGGGAGGTCTTTGGGACACAGAATGGAAGGGCTCCGGAGCATAGATTTGCGCTGCGAAGGTACGCCAGATTTAGGACACCGCCGGAACACAAAATGAGAAGGGCTCTGGAGCACAAATAGGAGGTCTCTGGAGCACAAAATGGGAGGTCTCCGGAGCAGAAAATGGGAGGTCTCCGGAGCACAAACCGGAGGGCTCCGGAGCACGAGTGGCAAACCCCCGCTGGGCAAACCCCGCGGCTCTGCCATTTCTGCTCCGGAGGTAGGCCGACGACTGTCCGAGAGTCGAAGTTGCTACATTCAAAGCCTAAAAGCTTTCCAAAGCTTTTACTATGCAATCGATACCGATAATGTTAGGTTGGAACGAAAGTTCTTCGCAATGCAAACAAAAATCAGTGATTTCTTAGATACTAGACCCAAATTCACAGTTTGATATCTTAAAAATGATAGAACGCTTGCGTCTCATAACTGATGTTTAAACATAGAATTCTATGGGTTGGCCACCGGTGAAAAAACTTCCAGAAATGGCGTTTTAATTACGCTCTTGAGTTTTGATGCTAGAAAATCGCGGAGGGCCGCCGAACTAGCTTAGAAAAGGTAAAATCTCTTCAACAAAAGTCCATACCTTACCAACAGGCTTCAATATTGTACGGTAACGTGAAAACAAGAATTTTATGAAATCGTCGTTATACGCAAAAATTATTCCAGTAATGCACTTTTTCAGCAAAAACGCTGTTTGCTGCAAAAGGCCTCACAGTATTTCAAATAGACACCAGATTTATTCCACCAGGTTTGGTTCCAAACTGTGTATCTTTGGAAAAGCAGTAACGATAGGATCTTTCCTGTAAAATGGCACCTCCTTCAATTTTTTTTTTGTTTTTGCATTTCTATGCAAGATTGAAGCCTACTCAAGTAAGTATGGATTTTTGCTGTGTAATAACTTTTTGCACATTTTTTGGGCTAGCTATCGGCTCTCTACAATTTTCTAGCACCAATCTCTCAAAATGCCAAATTTAAAAGACGTTTTGAAAGCTTTATTCCCGTTGGCTAATCCACAGAATGCCATGCTTGAGCATCTATTCTAAAGCGCAACCCTTCTATTACGCAAAAACGCGCGCCAGCTCAAAATCATACTCCGAAGAATGCACAACTTACTTGGAGTTGTCGTAGTAGTGGTAGTAGTAGTTGTTGTTGTTGTAGTTGTAGTTGATGGTGTAGTTGTTGAAATTGTTGTCGTTGACGTTGTTGTTGTTGAAGATGTTGTTGAACTCGTCGTGAGAGTGGGTGATTCTGTTGTCGTCAGTGAAGTTGTTGTCACTGTTGTCGGTGTTGTTTCCGCAGTGGTAACTGTTGGAGTCGTCGTCAAAAAGCTCGTCAATGATGAACTTCTTCCGGCAGGCGTCACAGGTCTTATCGGCGACTGTGCGCATTTTTTCTTACACTTTCTGCACACTTTTCTGCACGCCTTTTTAGTACCTCGAACTTCCTTGGTCTTGCACACTTTCACACAGTTTGACAAACTTCCCGTGTAAGATATTTTCCTCAAAAAAAATCACAATTTAGTCGCGTATAATAGACAATGGATAATCTCTTACTTTGAACGAGTGTAGCACAACGCACGCCTTCCCGAATGTTTGCAAGTCAGACCGTCTACTGGGATTGCTGTAAAAGAATAAATTTAATATAAATTTAGCGCAGTTATCTTCCTTATTCGTCCGAACCAAATGATCTGATCTTTCACTGTAATGAACATTCGGTCATATACAATTACTCGAAAAGCAAGAAGGCAGAGTCTTTGTTGCTGTCAATTACAAGACCTTGCAGCAGTGCATTTTTGAAAGCATTGCGGTATCTAGTTTAAAAAGCGCTATTTGCTATGTACGCGCACAAATGACTGGACGTCAGTATGTGCTTTGTGTTCAAGTATCTGCAGGCACAAAAAATTCCTCACCTGATAATACAATACAGAGAAGTAAGATTGTGTAAAGCATTGATGTAACTTCGGTAACAAGCAATGTTCTGAAATTTGCTTTTCTCTTCTACAGCATCGAATAATGCATACAATACCGCTCACAGAATGTGCAAAATTTCCGTGAATGTCGCAGAATTTCGGATTTTCCGCGAAGGTGCAAAATTCCGGGAATTCCGCGACATTCCCGGAATTTCGCGAAATTCATGTAAATCACGCAAATTACGCAGGGCCATAACTTCTTTCCGAATGAGTGTTATCAAAATCCGAAAGCAGCATTGTGTTCAGCTCGTCAAGGCAAATCTTCAGATATCCAGCATGTCCTTGAAATTCTGTTTCCAATTTTTTCAAAGTTTTCTGCGCGCGTATATTCGCAAGGTCGCAACGCAGCGCACATCAAACATAATAGACTCCAATAAGCACTGTTGGATTGTGCTGCTTCCCCGGATTATCGAGCGCTAAAAAGCAACCGGAGAACCTTCTTGAAAAAAGATAGAAGAGCTGGTGAATTCTAGAAAATTCGTGCTGTCTCAAATTTTGCCCACTGTAACCCTAAAATGGGAAGCTCTCCTGCTAAGCAAATGTGATTTTCGTAATCAGCAGGTCAGATAACCTCTTTGAGCGAAGTTTCCTTATAATCCAAGATCATCGACATTTTGACCAAACCCATCGGCGAGCTTCAGGGCGAGAACGAAAAAAATCAAATCACCCGAATTTCTTTGAAAACTTGCTCATAGAGGTTATCTGACCTGCTGATTACGAAAATCGCATCTGCTTAGCAGAAGAGCTTCCCATTTTAGGGTTACAGTGGGCAAAATTTGAGACAGCACAATTTTTCTAGAATTCACCAGCTCTTCTATCTTTTCTGAAAAAGATTCCTCGGTTCGTTTTTAGCGCTCGGTAATCTGCGAAAGCAGCACAATCCAATAGTGCTTATTGGAGTCTTTTATGTTTGATGTGCGCTGCGTTGCGACCTTGCGAATATACGCGCGCAGAAAATTTTGAAAAAATTGGAAACAGAATTTAAGGACATGCTGGATATCTGAAGATTTGCCTTGACGAGCTGAACACAATGCTGCTTTCGGATTTCGAAAATGTTCATTTTGAAGAAAATTACGGCTGGTAGAACTTGGAACAGCTTAATTTTTCCAAAGTTTATCAGCTCTTCTCCTTTAAAAGAGAGTCTTCGGCTGCTGTTTAGCGAAGAATAATCTACTGAAAGAGTACTATCGAATGGTGCCACGGCAGTCTCCTATGTATGATGCTCGTTGCGTTACACCCATGCGAAGAGGAGTCCGCATGCAAATTCAAGATCATTGAAAACAGGATATTGGAGACACCTTGTATAGCAGAAGATTCGACTTGACGAGCTGAATACAATGCTGTTTTCGGTTTACATGAATTTCGCGAAATTTCGGGAATGTTGCGGAATTCCCGGAATTTCGCGAACCTTCGCGGAATTTCCGGAATTCCGCGACATTCACCGAAATTTTTCACATTCTGTGAGCGGTATTGTAATGACTAGACGTTTTTCTAAACTCTGTTCACAAAGGATACGTGTTTGTCAGCATGAAAGATTTAGTAAACGCGATAATGTGCCATATCGATGTAATGTTATAGACCACAAGTTTTTTTCTGTAAGAGAAAGCGGTATTTGACGTTGCGCAGAAATTTGTCTTGGACGTTCCATAGATAGGTCAGAACAAACGGTTGTAGAAAATCCATAGGTCTTCTATTGTTGAGTTGCGCTGATGCTGTATCTCAACAAATTTCACGTTGGATTTTCTCTGCGCATTTAAAATTGCAGCATTGTTCTTGAAAATATATGGGAATTAAAAAAGATTGATTGATACATTATGACTAGAATGGTCATGGTTCCTACGTAATACTGCATTATGAATGGAAATACTCATGCACTTAAACCTAGTAAAGAGTAAATCTGCGCCAACTTGTTGAAAAAAGTAATAAAAGTGAGCAAAAGTTTGTCTATGCCTTTTTTATATATCATCTGTTATGGAAAGGGCGTCTGTATCTTCCACGTGATACGAATGCGAGAGGCTCACCAGACTTATGCTACTTGCTGTTTTCTGCTGTTTTCTTCCTTGCTCCTTTTGTTACATCTTAAGGCGATGGGGACAAGAACCATAAAAAAGCGTTCCGAACTCTTCTTTTTCCACCATATTCAGGGTCCCGAAGAAATCTGCTCACTGTTTGAATGTTTCTTGTTTTGACGCCAAGCACATGGTAAATTCTGTGGAGCTGGCTTTGATCCAAATTTTCAAGCCTAAAGTGCACCAATCACTTCATTACTGTGGGATTACGGTAAGAGCTCGAGAGAAGTTTAAAACACAGGTAGTCACATTTTGCCTCAGGAAGAAAATGGTACGTTCCAAAACTCTCACATTAAGCTAAAGTCTTTAATTTCGTCAGTGAAGTTTGCACTTCACTAATGCTTTTTTCCAAAATACTTCAGTTATACTGTAACTGGGGTGGCGAGAAAGTGCAACGATTGCTGGTGTCAACAATTTGCGCATCTTTTTCCGTGATTTTTATTCATCAGCATGCAAAAAAATAAGAGCATTTGCTTTTTTCATGCTTTCGTCCAAACAGGAGAATTAGATAGTTTACTGATGAAGACACGAAAATAAGTCAGAAATATCGAAAAGAATTTCAAAATGCACTGATTAACGGGCTCTAGGCAAAAGTTATTGAGTAAAACATTTCAAATCCATTCATTTTCACGACTCTGGAGTTCGCACATTGTGAGGCAAATAGTGCATTGGCAGCAGCCGCTGGCAATTGCTACATATTGTTTCTCTTGCACATCCCTGTAACTGTTCTTCCATGTTGTAATATGATTCCACCATTTTGAATTTCAAAAAACTGCATGTGTAAAAACCTTCGTTTGTTTTCCAGATTTTCGGAAAAAAATTTTTATGAGAGCTTATCGTACAATGCTGCTTACCGAAAGTCCCACTTAATTATAGTCCTACAGTATCGAAGAGCAATTGGTTTAGTTTCATACAAATCTAACAAGGAAAGCGTTCTCAGTCCAGCGGCATTTCTATCTGTATAGCATTGAAAAGCTTTAAACGCTGAATTCCAACCTTGTCTTTGGTGCCTGCTGTGCGCCTTTACGCCGAGTTATGAGCGTTTTTGTGTCGAAAAAAAATAAAAAGCTTAGCTAGAGTAAAATAATACAAAACCGCTCGGGTAGGCTAGTGTTGTGTGTTACCGTACTTTATGCAGTGAGAACTTTTTGTCTAGTATACTCCACTCGCACTGCTTTATTTGGGCGCTGGAGGAACCGTAATGATTAATTTTATCCAAGATATGCGTAAATTTTTCCAAAAAAAACACTCACAATTCCTCGTCTAGAAGCACGCAGCAGTTACCAAGAACGGATGCAATCGTCTAATTCTCTACAAAGCGTCCTTTTAAGTTGAAGCCAGCTTTACAGAATATTAAATAGAGGTCGACAAGAGATATTAAAGCAAAGAGGTGATTAATAGGCAGAGTGCAATTTTCAAGGACACCCTGTATATTGGACACAGTTACGCAAACTGTCAACTTTTGAGTTTCAGCGTATGTATTTGTGAATGAACACTTAGTATAGCACAATTTGAAAAAGTGAAGATTTACTCTAACCAACTATTTCGTTCACTGGTAACAGATTGTGTGCTAGGCTATTTGATGCGCTTTCGTGTATTCACGTTGGAAGTAGGTTGCTGCATGGGTGTAAAAGAAAACGCAGCTTTTTGGACTGAATGTTAATGTTTGGTCACTGTGTAAATGGGTGAAACCATTCGAAAAGTCATTAGAAAACCTGCCTTCAGTGTTCAAATATAATCGATAAATGTTTATCTTCGAAATTCTTGATTTTTGAATGCGATACATGCGTTTGATGAAGATTTCCCGAAGTTACAGGATGTCTCAAAAGTATGTAGACACTGCTTGATCGTCAATATCTTTCTTCTCAAGAAGTGTTTTGCTTACACTCAGGTATCTTTGTAGAGCTGGCAGCCTTGATTTGCAGTTTAGAGAGAATCGTTGATCGCTTCCCCTCACTGTAAATTGCGGTAGAAACTTTGAAAAGGATTTTAGGCCATTGAAAGCTTTATTTATTAGGTTGGTGCAAAAGTTTTGTCAGTTTCTTCAATCCATCGGTAAACACTCTAGAATAAAGATAAACAAACAATTCAAAATGTATCAGATGCAGAATTTCTTCCTCTATTCAGCCTCCAAACTCCCATTGTGTTCCGTTGCGGGAGTGACGAGATATTTGCTGTAAATTAAAACCACTCGTTTTTACTATGTCCAACTTCCGCTAATTTTCAAAATTTTTATATGAGACTTTCGGAGGAGCCGTGATAACCTGCAGATAGGGCAAACTTTTTGCCAACAGATGCAATTTTTTGTAACTCTAAGGCTTGTCTTCCAGAATGTCTACGATTTATTTTTTAAAGTGACCAAATTTTACATTCAGCCTATTTTAACCTCGTAGAACATAAAATGTTAAACACTTTAGTCACCATTCGATGCAACTTTTTTCCTCCTTCTAACACTTGTCTCTTTTTGCCGAGGCAGGTGAAATTTGTGAGGAAAATAGCAGTATTTCTCAATTTCAGGAGGCACACTGACGTAACCTACGTTTCAAAGTTTTTCATATGAAGCGAAAATCGCTCATTAACTTTGTAATGGCAGCGGTAGTAATAATCAAGTGTTGAAACTTCGGTATTCTGTAGCTTGTGCAGTGTTCGGTGCAATAACAAGTTGTACGATTTTCCAAAAACAAGACTTTTACAAAATTATATAGCAAAACTGTGAAAAAGCAGCTGAAAAAATAAAAAAATTGCGTAAGTTGGCAAAAGTTTTGCCCTATCTGCTGATTGTTAGGGCTCCTCCAAAAGTCCCATACAAAAATTTTAAGAATTAGTGAAAGTTGGACGTGGTAAAAACGAGTGATTTTAGTTTTCAGCAAATATCTCGTCACTCTCGCAATGGAACACAATGGGAGTTCGG